AACTTTAAGTAATAATAAAACTATCCATACATCTTACTTGAAATGGAGTTTGTGGGACTGGAAGTTGTTGCTCTGGGTGAGTGAGTGAGTGGGGAGTGAATTCTAGGACGTTACTGTCCACTACTGTAGATTTTATAAACACTGCCCCACAGGCCCTTCCCCTTCTCACAGCGTCAGAATTCGAGCATCAAAGCTGTCAGTGCTGCTTCATGATCAGGGTGTGGGCTGGATTGACTGGAAGTATCAGGGGGAGGAACTGGCCGGGTTAGGCGTAGATCACCATAGTAGTGACTGTCAGGAGGGAGTGAGAGATGGCCTGAGGACCAATAGGAATAAGAAATCAGGTTGGAGAGAGAAGATAAAGGAGCACAGGGGATTGTCAAGGCAATGTGGTTTTGGCTAGTACACATTGGAGCAATTGTAAGATTAAGGAACTTTGTTGTATTGATAAAAAAAAAAAAAGTGGCGTGTTGAAGAGGTTATAGAACTGATGACTCAGTATTTTGACTTTGACATTTGTTTTGGGTTCCATGGACCCCATCTGGCACAAAGGGCTCTCTCTGGCATTGAATCAATGGGAAGAAATGAAATTTATCTGTGCTTTACATCATTACAACCTGAAAATATTTGCAAAATACAGGGACAGGCTGCTCCACACTGTCATAGAACGCCTTTACTCAAGTGGCAGCGGCACTTCGTACTTGTTGAGGTAGCTCCTGTGGTCCTGTGTCCTTGTATGGGATCTTGGGTCCTTCACAAAGAATGTACAGCAGTGTCCTCTGCAGACCATCAGGCTACATCAGGGAGGGCTATAGCGCCCTCTGAATATGGCGCACGAGGTGGGGGGAAGACAGGCTCCTGTGTGCTGAACAGTCAGTGGCTGGCTGATTGGGATGTGATGTGTGCACTCAAAACTGAGGTGCTGTGAGTGAGAGGGAATCTACTACCAAGCCCCACAGATATTGCTCCCATCAGAGAAAAAAGTATTGCTCCTCAAACACATACCCTTCCATTTCTTACAGCTCCATTCTAATCTTATGAGGCCACTGTCATATATGCAGTCCAGCATTGACCAAAACATCGTTATGTGGTGCATGACTGTATTTTGTGGAAAGAGAGAAGGAAAACTAGCTGACACTTACTAGGGACTTCTCTAGGCCTGGCACTAAAGCTCTCAATATATTACCCAATACTTATAACAGAAAACATGATTTATAAACAGATGGACGTGACGTGGCCAAGACCCCTGCCCCCCCAATCTCGTAGGGACCAAGCCAGGGTCCAGCCCAGGTGCCTTAGCTCTGAGATCTGCTCGTCCACAACACCAGGCTGCCTTTTGCACACCTAAGAGACTAAGCAGCAACCCTGGGCCCTCAGCAAGAACTGATGTTCTCAAAGAAAGCCCTGATTCACTGCAGCTTCCTGAGGTTTCCTGCCCTAGCCGGTTAGGATAGAGCAGTGATGGCGAACCTTTTGAGCTCGGCGTGTCAGCATTTTGAAAAACCCTAACTTAACTCTGGTGCTGTGTCACATATAGAAATTTTTTGATATTTGCAACCATAGTAAAACAAAGACTTATATTTTTGATATTTATTTTATATATTTAAATGCCATTTAAAGGCATGGCTGAATACTGTGTTCTTTTTGTCAGTAGCTTACACAGCCAGACACCATGCAAAAGTAGTCTTCCCTTTAAAATGGCTATGATGGTATGCCACGTTTTTTCATAGCATATCATTACTAAAAGTGGATACAAATAAAAAAATAAAAATAAATGCCATTTAACAAAGAAAAATCAACCAAAAAAATGAGTTCGCGTGTCAGAGGTGTCATAGGTTCGCCATCACTGGGATAGAGCATGGGCCTGCAAACTGAAGGGTCCTGGGTTCGGTTCCAGTCAAGGGCATATAATTTGGTTGCAGGCTCCCGGCCCTGGTCAGGGCCATGCAGAGGCAACCAATTGATGTGTCTTTCTCACATCTGCATTTCTCTCTGTCTCCCTCTCCCTTCCACTCTGTAATTTGGAAAAAAATATCCTCGGACGAGGATTTTTTTTTTAAAAAAGGGATTCCTGGCCTCATAGAAAGAACCCAGACCTTGGAGTCTGATAAACATGGGTCTAATCTCTGGCCTTTCCGTTTCCTAGCTACAAGACGTTGATTAAATCTCTCAACCCCTCGTTCTCAGTGGTGATAACAGTTACTTCAGAGGGTTGTGAGGATTAAAGATGATGGATACAAAGTCTTCGTTCCTATTACGTGGCAGTTGGCAGATGTTCACTGAGAGCTGTCATGTCCATGTTGAAGAAGACAGAAAAGCTAACAATACATTTTAGAAAAAATGTCTATGATTAAATGGAATAAACTTCAGTCATCTTGAAAGTTTATTGATCCAGAACACATTATTCACTGATTATGGATAAAAGTGTCACATAGTAAAAGTGCACATAACACACACTATGTGTCCAGGACTAGTCTGTATTGTTTGCCTTAACTCATTTAGTCCTCACAATAATCCTTTCGCTAAGTGCTGTTGTTACAAATGAGAAAACAGAGAGGTTAAGTAACTTGCCTGAAGTCACAACTATCAAGTGGTGAGGCCAAGATTCCAACCGAGGCAGTCTGTCTCGAGAGCAAAGGCAAGAATAAAACCTTGGGGTTGTTATGAGATTCAAACTAAGATAAGCGTTGGGAAAGAGGTTCATAAATGCTGTGTGCATTCTAAGTGTGTGTGTGGCAGGCAGACGGGCTAGGTTTCAGATATAGACTCGAGTCTGGCGCTTGGGTGGAATCCTAGCTCTGCCACTTAATTAGCCGTTGTGATCTTGAGCAAGTTACTTAATCTTCTGCCTCACTTTCTTAGCTATAGAAATTGGGATTGTAAAAGGAGACATTTGACAGGGTGGTTCTAATAATGAAGCATGTAAAGGGTTTAGAATAATGCCTAACGTGGCTTTAAATAAATGATGATAATGACGAGGATAAAGGAGAAAAGGGGGAAGAAGAACAGGAAACTAGCTTTGAAGTGTGAGAACCCTGCTACCAAATCCCAGCTCCTAATCCGATCTCAGGAACATTTCTAAACTTCTGAGTCAAATGTTCTCAGAGCAGAGTTGTCAGGATTAGAAGTAGTGAATGTAAGGTCATCAGTGTAGTGCCTGCCACTGAGTAGAAACTTGATAAATTTTAGTTCCTTCTTCATTTACTCAACACCGAGCACCTGCTACCTGCAGCAGTGGTGGTAGGGTCCATGGAAGACACAGATGTGAGACAGAAATCTGAAGAGAGAGACTCATATGGTCATTGATAACTAATATAAGGATTAAAAAGTGTAGTACTAAATGCTGTGAGGAAGATAAAAATGTAACCTCCAAAGAGGGAGTGACTCCTCCATTGGGGAGATACAGGAGGGCTTCCTGGAGGAAGTGGTGTTGGCTATGGGCTCAGAGGCTGGATGGGACTTTAATCCCACTGGGATGAGACTGGGCTCTGGGCCTTTAAGAGACCAGGTTTCTGGGGCCCTGTGGTACTCATGCCTGTGATCTGGCTGCCTGCAGTATACAACACTGCCGAGCTGGACAAGGCTCTGTGGGCTGAGGGTTAGGGCCCCTGGGTGCACTGTAACTGGAATTTCCAGATCTGGAAGCTCTAGGTTTGTGGTCAGATAGGCAGCATTCTTGGGCCCTGTTGACCCAAGACATGAGTGCTCAGAGAAAGGGGGAAAGGTCATGTTGTCTCTGCTGCCTGCCGAGGAAAAGTGAGAGAAACTGCCCCGGCAATCCTTGAGTCTTCTGCCTTCTGCTGTGCACAGGCCGCCCCCTCCATGCTCAGCCGCCCGGGGGGCCCCAGGCAAGTGGGGGAAGCACCAGATGGAGCAGAAAGACCTGGTGTCAGCCCTGGCTGCACAGCCTGGTCTCAGGGGAAGCAACCCCTCTGAGCCTGTCTCATCAGTGGTAAAAGTGGGGGTGGGTGTTTCATAAGATGAAACTAAGAAAGAATGTGTGTAAAACAGCTGGCTTAAGGCTTGGAACATTAGAGAATGTCCCCTACTTGTCAGACCAATCACCGTTTTTTAGACACACAATTTGCGTTGCACAAGTGCCTAGGATACACACCCAGCCCAAAAGGAGACAGAAATGGTCCCTTAGCCACCCTGCCCCTGCCCTGCCCCGTGTTCAGCCCCATCCTCTCTCACTGAGGGAACTCTCCAGGGCCCCACACCCATCCTTCGTGCTGGAGCCCAGTGATCCTCTCGAACTCCTCCCCCAGGTGCTCCCCAGCTCCCAGCCTTAGTTGAGCCTGAGCCTCCCACGGAGCCAGCTGGGCTGCACTGCACTGTAGGGGCTCACCTGGCTCCGGGGCTGATGCTTCTTCATGTTCGCAGTTACTTAAAGTAAAAGTGCACATGACCTAAGACAAAATATGGAATTTCAAACAAAGTTTGTACTGGAGACGGTTGTGGCTCAGTCTCCTCTGATCACCTCCTCCCACCGGGGTGCTGGGAATGAGACGTCTGTGAATGGGGTCCTGACCCAGATCCTGGCCAGGCCGGCAGCCTCCCCTCTCGGGCTGGGCAGCTCCTCCCACCTCTGTCGCGGGCTGCCCCCTGCTCCGGGCTCAGCAGGAGTCCCAGGCCTCTGACCCAATTCAGGTGCCGCCCAGCGAGACAGGTTCTGCACTTGGGCAGCAGGGAAAGGCATTGGCGACGCCACCGTCCATCTGCACCAGCTCGAGGCTGGGAGTGGAGAGGCCTGGGGTGGTCCTGGCGCCCCTCTCCGCCCCCCCTCCCCCTCCCCTCTGTGACCATGAGCAGCCTCAGTTTCCCCCTGTGACTAAGGATGGGTCCGGATGGCTCTGGAGGGGAAGTGGTCTCGCCCCGGGTCCCGGGGTCTGCCGGGGGAGGGGACACCGACTCCCGGGCCAGGCAGGAAGGCGCCGGGCCGGGCCTGGCTGGGGAGGAGCCTCCGGCCCACCCCGCCCGCCCCGTCCAGGTGCCGCCGCCAGAGCCGCCGCTGCCGCCGCCGCCGCCGCCACGAGGGGCCGCCAGCGCCCCCGGAGTCCGGCCGCGGCCATGGCCTTTCTGACCGCCTGGAAGGGAGCGGCCTCCAGGACGGGCGTCCGCAGGTACCAGGCGGGGCGGGCGCTCGGCCAGCGGCGGGGAGGGAGCCGCGGGCGGCGGAGGGGCGGAGGGGGACGGTGAGTGCGGGCTGCTGGCCCAGGAGCAGCTGAGCGCCCGGGAGGGCAGTCCGGCGCCGCTCACACACTCCACGTGTGCCCTGCTGGCGTGTTATGGCCGCAGCAGGGCTGAGG